CATGTTGCAATAAGTACAAATAGTGTAAGCACCGTTCATTTACATGTACACATATGGCCGTAAGCAAAACAAAACAACGCGTTACCACATGCAGTCAGTTACCGGGTAATGTTATGTGACATAAAAATATATTTCCTAATATTGTGCAATCAGTGCTATCTGCAAGCAAACTTTAGCGATTTTTTTTCAAACGTTTCTTTACAGAACATCACCGTAAACACAAACACAAGATTGATGGTAATATACATGTAATGAAAAAATGTCATAAAAATTCTTATTAATGGCAAAAATTACTTAACATTTATGGGTCTGCTTGCTCGAGTGGGCAGCCATGTTGTAAATTTGTCTTAGCCCTTCGTTTGAAGTGAGGTCCTGAAAAATCTTCGTTTCGAGGGCTATCTAGCCCTTCCCCTTACCCCTACCCCTCCAATCAAAAGAGAATTGAGACCCCCCTACCCCTACACGTGAACGCGCCAAACGGAGGGGTAGGGGTAAGTGTAGGGGTAAGGGGTAGAATTGGGATTGGGCCTAAGTTAGCAAGTTTGTAATTGTGACATGTCTTTTCTGGTTTCATTAGACTAACTTAGCAACTTTGGAAGTGTGACGTCTCTTTTCTGGTTTCATTACACTAATTTAGCAGATTAGGAACTGTGACGTGTCTTTTCTGGTTTCATTATAGTAAGTTAGCAACTTTGTAATTGCAACATGTCTTTTTAGGTTTTATTAGACTAACCTAGCAAATTAGGAACTGTGACGTGTCTTTTCTGGTTTCATTAGACTCACTTAGCCAATTAGGAACTGTGAAGTGTCTTTTCTGGTGTCATCTTACTAACTTAGCAACTTCGGAACTGTGACGTTTCTTTTCTGGTTTCATTAGACTAATTTAGCAGATTAGGAACTGTGACGTGTCTTTTTTGGCTTCATTAGACTAACTTAGCAACTCTTGCAGTGTGACGTTGCAAGGGACTTTAATTAATAAAGAAAATAAACTGTCTGAAGACCAGAAGGTCTACTGGCGAATGTATCGCTCAGAAAAATTGAAAGGAGCAGGCTGGATCGTAGTCGTGGGACAGGCTGGGGTCGGGCGATGTACGGAGTCGGTCTTGGGGGCTGGGCTGGTCTCGTAGTCGGGGTACAGGCGAAGGTCAGGCTATTCATGTCGGGCATCAAAAGGGACTGGACAGAAAACTTGTAGTCAAAAATGGCAGAACAAACGGTCAGAAAACACGGAGAGGCAAAAACAGGAAAACGCTCGAACTCAGGAATAATTCTTGAAGATCTCGCATCAGGGTGCAAGATCCGATGGCTAAAATAGTCTCTCTAATCTAGGAAATAATCAGCAACAGCTTGCGGTAGGTTGATGTACCGAGAACCGGAGAAACCAGACAACCCGGTATAGCGGCGTAGGACTGACAGTTCGTAAAAAACGGGGAAGGCAAGATCAAGGAATCCCCGGCGGCGTGATCTTCGTGACATCAGTCGGGGGATCCCCGGGGTTGATCCGTGACAGACGTGTCTTTTCCAGTGTCATCTTACTAACTTAGCAACTTCAGAACTGTGACATTTGTTTTCTGGTTTTATTTGACTAACTTAGCAACTCTGGAAGTGTGATGTGTGTTTTCTTTTTCTGACTAGGCCTCAAACTAACATGAGGAGGTGTGACGGTTAAGTTGAACCAGCTAGTGGTCTGAAATTCGGCACACATAAACTACATAGGTCCAGGACGAACTGTGCCAAGTTTTATGACTGTGACCCTTACCAAAGGCCTGTAGTGACCTATTGAATTTGCTAAGGTTGGCAGTTGTAGTCCAAAGCTGGTCATGCAGTGTAGGCCTCAAAATGACTTAAGGGGGCATAACTGCATGACCATAAAAGCTACGAAGATGGTTCAAAGTGTTGCTGAACCTAGACATTATGAGCTTCAATTACACCTATACATGTCCTTTAAAATTATGCCTCCTTAATTATAAAGTATGTTTTTCATCTGCCTAGATGGAAGATCTTTAACCAGATGATCGACTCCATTTCTCAGGCATTATGGGGGGTGACGGCCAAGCCATACGAGCTAGAGGTCTGAAATTCCACCCCCAAACTAAATACCTGCAGTAACGAGTGTGCTGAGTTTCGTGACCGTAGCTCTTAGCAACGTCCCACAGTTAATTTTTAAATTTCAGTAGGCAATGTTAAGTGAATGGCTGCCTTTGACAGGCCATAACTTCACGTAGCAGTGACCTAGGAAGATGATCCAAAATGTTTATGAAACTGGACAGCATACTGTACAATTCTTCAAATACATGTCCATTAAAATTATGCCTCCTTGATTTGAAATTAGCAGGTGAGTGCCATCAGAAGTGGTGCATCAGAACTGTTAGGCGTATTCTCGTTTCCAGAATTGACACGGCACATTTCTGGGTTATTGATTTTTCAATTAACGTCAATTAGGGAATGGCTCCACGGAGCAGCGATGAAGGACGACGGGTCAAAGTTCACCGGAAACTACGAGCCTCTCCAGAGAAGGCCCTCCATACATGTCTGTTAAAATCATGCCCCCATGATGCCCATAAAAGGGGTTTCCCAACATTAAAGAGGACGACTGCGCCGTATGGGCACTCACCATATTAGAGCCAATTAGCTGATATCTCGGCAGAGGAGCGACGTAGGAGGACGGGTCAAAGCTCTCCCGACACCGGACATCAGCGGCGCAAAGTCCTGCCATACATGTCTGTTAGAATTATGCCCCCTACATATGGCAGGAGCACAATTTGATATTTTGCGTCATCTGGCCCAAAAAATGGGGGTAAGGGTCTAGGCCCTCTACGCCGTGTCGAAAGGCTGCCGAAGCTCAGAGGGGACGTCGTAAGAAAAATGATCATAACTGCAGTTTGGTTAGAGCTGGAGGTCTGAAATTTGGCAAATGTAAACTAGATATGTTCACGAATAAGTTTGACAAGTCTGAAGACTGTGGCCCTTACCAAAGTCCCGCAGTGGCCCTTTGAATTTGCTATGGTAGGTAATGTTAAGTGAATGGAGTCCTTTGACAGGGCATAACTACAGGTAGCAGTGGCCTAGGGAGGTGAACCAAAGTGTTCCTGAAGCTAGACCGTCTGCTCTACAATCACTGCAATACATGTTTATTAAAATTGTGCCTCCTTAACTTCATAACACTAGGCTTTTGATTATGAGTGCATGTACTGTCTCTGCCTGACTGGAAGATCTTTGTTCATGATTGACTGTATCATATTACTAACGTAGCAATTCCGAAATTGTGATGTGTGGTTTCTGGTATCATCTTACTAACTTAGCAATTCAGGTATTGCTATGTGACTTTTCTGGTACCAACTTACTAATTTAGCAGATTAGGAATTATGTGACTTTTCTGGCATCATCTTACTAATTTAGCAATTCCAGAACTGTGACATAACTTTTCTGGTACCATCTTAATAACTTAGCAATCTGTAATTACTTAGACAAAAACGTAAG